ATACAGCCTTTTGCAAAAATTATGAGAATTGTCTAAATATCTAAATATCATAATATCCATATCCATATATTGTCCGGAACACGCGGGTTTGCTAGAATAATTCATTGTTGACATCGAGAAAATGTTCAGAACTACGGATAAGTCTGTCGCCAAAAAAAACTAAACAACAAAGACAAGGAACTAAGGGCATCGCGCGGGATCATGCACTTGATATTATGAGATTTAGATATTTCAACAATTCTCATAATTTTTGCAAAAGGCTGTATCATACATTAAATATTGAATAAAATCTTTTAGTAAGATCCAAAACTGGCCAAAAAACAATTGGAACTTATTCAAAGGTTTTAGCTCAATATTTTAGGTCAAACTTGCTTGTTGAGCAAGTGGAAAAGTATAATGTTTTTGATCTTAATATTAAGATCATCTATTATATTTATATTATGACATATTTTTTATATATCATCAATGAGAACTTAACTCGTTTTCCAAAAAAAAAACACACTGATTTAGTTTGGGGCATAACTGATTTTTGGGATACATAATATATGTATGTATAAGTCTTTTGTAGGAGTTTTTGTGGTCTATCAATGAAGAGAAAAGACAAAGATGACGTATATTGAAAGTAAACAATAGATCGACAAAAGACATAAACATCATATATATATATTTAACTAAGTTTATTTGCAAACTATTTCAAAAAACGGTTTTGAAAAGCACGCAGTTTTGGTAACATAGAACCCAACCTTCGATATTAGTCGTAGCGTATGGTTGATTGACCTTGGACTAAAGGCCCAGTGTCAGAAAGGAATATGCAATAAGATTATTTATTAATTCCCCTAGAGCCTCGATTTCAAATGCTTCACTCAGCCAAAATTAATATGTATATATCATCTTTTATGGCTTCAAGGCTTTTATATTCTTTTTTGATATATTAAGCGGGCTTTATTTCTCACAAATTAGCATTTTTCCTATCTTCTTTTAAAACCTCCGGCGAAACTGCGACGATTTTATTGAAATTACTGTAGAATCTAAAGTAATTTGATATGTCGAGCTGTCTTTTTAGTATATATAATGTATTAATCATTTATTAATTAGCGTTGCGACTGGCATTATTATCGACCCACGTAACTAGCAAAAAATGTCATTTTTCTCAAAGGGAAAAAGGAAAAATTGAGACTTTTGTGAGCTAATTATGATTGAACATAACAGATTTGAAGCCAAGCTTGCCAGCACAATATATATAATACCATGCTACTATTTCACAGTAATATCGTGTGTTGAGGGAGTTATACGTATATGGAAAAATAAATTAGACAGACATTTCTACATACTATAAATCTTTGAGATTTGAGAGTCGGAGACATTTACTTAATAAAATGGTTTTCAATGCATTCATGAGATCTTTTTGATATAAACAAGGTTGGCTCTTGAGGGCGTAATGTTTGGAATTTAACCCATACTTATTTTGCGCACGAAATAGATTAAGTTTCTCCCGTTTCCGCAACACCTACATAGCATTTTCTTTTGTATGAATTCAAGGGTTGCGTGAATGTTTGATCAAATAACATTTTTTGAATGACCTTTGAGAATAACATAACATCTTTTTTTAACAAATATGTCGGGATGTTTTGCTTATGAAGCTTATCCACAGATTCTTATACAAATATTTGAAGGTCGTGTACGTATGCATGGCTGCATGCGCTAAACACTGAACGGATGACACCTTCACCTACGAATCCCAAGTCTTTTTATAATTAGAATATCAGCGTCTCAATTAGTTTTTGTTTGATTTGTGCCCCATGACAAAGAATGAAGAGTGTCAAGCTAAAGAAAGCACAAATCAAAATTTCTGTGTGATGGTCAATAGGTTTGATCAAGGATTTTGAGAAATGTTAAAGCCTTTCATAAATCTGACTTGTCGATCGCTTTTCGCTTTCTCTGTATTTTATTAATTAAAAGGGCTTTATCTTGAGAAATAGAGTGTTTCGAAGGAAGAGAATGTGCGGAGATGTTGGTGTTGGTATGGTAAGGCACCAATATAACATGTTGCCTTTAAAACACACCTGCACGATGAACACACGGATGATGAATTAGCCGATTGTTAATGAGTGAATGCATGAATTTGTGGGAGAAAAACCCCAATTGCTGCGATTGTTGTGTGAAAAGACATTAAATAAACGGATTACATATGAGAAAAATCAAAGACAAAATGAAAATTGAAATATTTCTGTAACTTATTAACTCTTGAGTAAAAAAAAGAACAACAACGATAATAATTCATAAAGGAATTTCAACATATGTGTGTAAAAAGATTTTCAACATAAACGAATACTAACAAAAATGTAAAATAGAATAATTCCTGATAGGAATAAAATCGCCTTGCGGTTGAAGTGGACATTAAAATTAGTTGTCAATTAAAACAAATAATCACTGAGACAAAAAAAGCAGCATCAATCCTTGAAAGGATTTTATATTTTCAATGCTCAATTAAAAACATGCATGAGAGAAAAAAAAGCAAAAAAGTATTTTCAAAATGGTGTTTAGCCACAAAAGTTAAAACAAAGTAAGAAGGATCAAAAGACTTGCTATGATTATGGAAAACCTATCGTAAAAAAGGCAACTCAGGAAATTTAATTTAGGAATTCAGTATTAATCAACGTATTTACGTTTTAAAACAAGGCTGGAGGAAATAGAGCCGCAAGAGTTTTTGTTTAGAGGGATTATAATTAGAGTAAAACTCCCATTATATATATATATATAAGACACATAAGGCAGAAAGACACTAGTCTAATGTTCAATAGTTAATTTTTTTGTTAATGAGTCAAATTAATTAACTCCAGTTTAGCTTTGGATCGATTAATTATTTCAAATAGCATAAACTCAGCTCTGACTTGACTGAGAACTCCACAATTAATTTCCAAGACAAGATCTTAGATCTCGTTTTTGATTTAAGCGTATGTATAGATGCGGATCAATTAATACTATGTGGAAATATGTAATTATATAGATATGATTTCTATGAAATCTGCTGGGGATTTTCTTGCATTGCTCTCCCTCGCGCAAGATAAGCCCACAGCAAATATATCATTAAAAAAGGGCTTTAAATCCCTATATCCTTCCCTATGATCCTCATCTGGCAACCTGAGGGATGTTTGCAATCCCTTTATACATATCACAAAGTGTTTTGCTAAGCCGCAAGACGAAGACCATATTCTTTCTACTTTTGTTGCGGGGAAGATAAGAACATTGATTGGAATGAGAAAAACTCCTAATCCAATGGATGGTCTACCGGATGGCATTTGTTATCCCTTTTTTCGCACACTAAGAACCTCTTAGTGCCAAATAAAATATATTAAGAAGAAAATAGAAAATAGTATTTTCCTAAATCACTGCTTTCATAAAAGTCAAAGTGAAATAATCCGTCGTCCTGGAGTTTAAGATGAGCAGTCCTATGTCTCCAAGGCACCTGCAAACAATTGTAAAGTCTATTTTGTTTTATTTATTTTACGGGGATTTACATGACATACCATTGCTTTTTTATCATTTTTATTTTCTAGTTATTGAAGCGTATTTAGCTGAGACAAGAAGGCTCTACTAATTGACACTTTTCTACTAATTTGTAGCAAGTTTTTCCTTCCCATAATGAACTCTTAACTGAAGTACTCTGGAGATTAAAGAAAAGACAAAAAATAATGATTAAAATCCGATGAGATGCGCTTGTATTTACACCCTTCCCTGATCTGTATTATTCATAATTTCCGAAAGGAATAATCTACGTCAGCTAAAGTTTCCAATTAATATTTCTTTCAAGGATTGATTGAAAAGTCACTCTGATTTGAGACATATAATGCACACTTCGTTCGCTGATTCTCGCCTCATTGGAGCCATATTTACACATTAGTCACTGCAAACTCGAAATGTTGATCTTATTGGAATTATATACACATCCCGTTTTCCTGAAAAACGATTCTAGCAGTCATCCATACCCAAAATGATGCCCCTGATCTCATATATTCATTTCTTCTTACCACTTCGAAAAAAACCAGGTGCTTGACATCATTCAACGTTCAAGTTCAACAATGATATACAAAATGAGAGAGTTCTATACTAATATATCATCCGATATATTGTACTCTCATGTCAGAGTGCATAATGAACGGATAGTTTGACCCGCTAATGCCAGACGAGTTTTACGAGTTTTATCGAAGACCAAATCGATGCAGCAATCTTTCTGATCGTTGTTGAAATCAATGTTGTGACTGAATACCTCTCAAACTCATACCAGCCCTTGACTCTGATGCAGATGTTTCCCTGCCGTCATACAAGTTCCTCGGTTTTGTTTGGAAGGATGTTTTAATTAAAATCACTCGTCTGCCAAATAGTTGTTTTAAACCTTGACGATAGTTTTCGCTGAAGAGAAAATAAAGACATGGGGTTAAAAAGGAGTTTGAATAGGCGATGAAGAAAGCCCATTCGATATATGTCCCCGCTTCGCATGGTGTCGAACTGTTCTTAACCCAAATGTATCTATTAATATAACCAAGAGTGTTTAGAGGTAACCAACAAAGTGCGAAAATTACAACAACGGCCAGAACCATTCGTAGCACGTTGCGATTTCTTTTTGCGATGCGCTTTTGGTTGCGGAAGCTGTCATTTCCCGGAGTTTTCTGCCTTTTCAGTCTAATCAGAATTGTCGAATACAACGAGATAAGGAGAAGAAGTGGGAATATGAATAAACACGTCGAAGTAACTAGAAAATAGATCTCCTCAGACCTGGAAGGATCCGGCATTGGATTCCAAGAATAGGTACAGTAGGTTATACCATCTAAAGACGTTACTAATCTGAAGGTGAAAAACAACGGTGAGTGAAATCCCATGGAGATAACCCATGTCAGAGCCAAATTGCAGGAGTGCATTCTTTTGGAGATTGTCGAAGCACGCATTGGATAGACAACTCCAAGAAATCGATCAAAAGCAATTAACACAAGACTTAGAACTGAGACTCCAACGGAAATATCCAGTAGAAATGGTACAAACTTGCAAAAAATCTCCCCGACTATCCCTTCAACGAACCATCGGTCTGTGCCATTAGCTATGACAATATTTAGGATTCTGTAAGGTATTGCAATTATTGACTGCAGAAGATCAGAAAATGCCATATTTACGATTAGAAAGTTCACTGTTGTCTGCATACTTCGATTTTTGTAGACAATCAGAATGACGAGAACGTTACCAGTAAATGATAAGAACATGACGCAGCTATAAGCCACCGTCTTAAGCGCCTTTTCACCATCCATTTCCATAACTTGAGGACAGTTTGAAACAGCATGGCTTCCATTGAACGTGAGGTTGTTCATTTTCAATTTCGTCTTTGTGCTCAGATTTTCTTGATGCCTTTAAGGGACAATATCAAGTCTCCACTTTTATACTGTCTTCAGCCTGTCTCTAACTATTAGATCGGATTGCTCGAAAATGTTTATGTGTATCGCTCATTCATCGGGATCAATGACCTTTTCAGTCCCCTTTACCATAGCAGGCGGATTAAAGGAAAAAAAGTTTTCCTAAGGATAAAAATATCCCCTGTCTTCCAAGGTAGTCCGTCTTCAAGTCGCGGACAATGTGCCAATGTGGCGAATATTTCGCTGGTCGTTGCGGTCTCAATGTGTCGAGAGCTAAGTGGTTTGTGGTAGCGATGGCTCGGGTTTTTCGTTTTAACCTCACTATTATCTCTTGAACATACAAAAGTCATGTGTGACGTATACAGTAAACAAACTGAGACCTGTTTTGACAGGTGCCCGTCAACCTAAGACAACTAAGTCGTCGGTTATCTAGCTAATATACACTAAGCACGAGGCCACTAGCCATTGGTCCGCGATGTGAGAGACATCTTATCATCGAAACAAAACTGTTTCAGTTTCAGCTTGCTTTTAGTACCTCTCTCGTCGGCCGGATGTGCAATGTAATTTTTCCTGCACAGAGTTATAACTTTCAATCAATTACACATTTGAGATGAGCGAAATTCGGTTAATCATTCACGCCTCCCAGCGAAGCGACAACGCCTTTCCGATTTATAGGTAAACCACCTCTACGTGCACGTTTTTCGGGTTTTTCTATAAAGCAACAAAGACCAATATATATCTTAAGCTTTGTTACGGTTTATCTGTAGATTGAAGCTTAAAACGCCAATAATTCTACGAAATGGCTCTCGACGAGATTCCAGTCGTCAACCATGGAGTCAACGATGAATTATTCATCATCCAAAGGAAGCAATTAGTAGAATCATACTTTAGCCTGAAATAGTACCCATTAGACGAGAGCTTATTGAAGGTGTGCGAGCGCTAATTTTTACACCATTTAAGCTGAACGAAAACTTGAAATATCAAAAATCTCACTTACAAAACGCCAGTGAAAGAGGAAATAATACCGGAGGAGAAATATTATATTCCATACGGCTAAAAGGAAAGTGCATTAAGCATTCCAAGCTCGGTAATTGAATAAAATCGTCTTTTATTAGAGCCATGCCTAACAATTGGTTCTAATGGAAATACTTTTCATAAACTGAAACATATGCAGAATCACTGCACATAAATCACAAACCTGAAAATATCTCTTTGTGAGAATCTAAATCATTTTGTCGACATGTGGCGCAATATAGCCTAGACAGTTGTGTTTGAGAAGCCCCATGAATTTACAACGCTCGTGTATTAAAATAACTCAGATTATACTCAAAACAAGGAAATCTCGAGTGATGCATTAAAAATATCCAATCTTTTATTTAAGACACAACTTGAAAGCATCGTTTTGTATGATTGCGTGCATTGAGATTTGATTGCTCAGAATTTTGTCTTAAAAATCGTTTAAAAAGCATAATTGCATGGTGTTTTAAGCCTAAAAATAGTCAAGGCCTTTTTTCAGTCGGAATATATGTCAACGCGAGATTAATAAGACTCAGAGCATTGCATGAATGACACCCGTTTCTCCCAAATCTTATATTGATAGCCAAAATACTTTAATGCCTTTGCTGTTGAGGATTTTTAATAAAAAAGATCTATGGAGACTGAATGATAGTCGAGAAAGGGCAGCACATTAAGTAAAATTTAAAATATTTCCTATGTTTTGATAATAGAATGATAGCTATGTACATAATAAGAGTTTTATTTTTTTATCGTGATTTCAAAGGACAGGGAGGAGATGGCTTTGATTTAATTCAGAGAATCAGTGAGTATTATAAAGATCAATTCTTCTATTATGGACGTGAAAGTATTTTGCTTGAAAGATTCCATCGATAAGAACTAAGAAGCCATTGTTTTAATCGTTAAGTCACAGAGGATCAGACAGGCAAAAGTGAAGTCCATTTTGTGCTGTTAGTTTTCTGTTGTAGTCACATTGTGTTAAATGTAAACGGAAAGCACCGAGATAAAAGAGATCGATGAAAAGAATCGATCGCGAAACAGTGATAGTGAAGTTAAGATGGACGTTATGATAGATCAACTGCTTTTACTTTCCACAGTAAACAACCTAAGAATCTCTATCTTTTCCATAGTATATGGTTTATTGTTTAGTAGGGGAATTGCCTTACATAATTTATATAGCTTTAGCCTCAAGCTCAATACTACATTAAAATTACCTGTAAACAAGTCATATATTTAAGCACCACTGATGTATTTTTTAGAACTGTTTTTTAGTCCATGGAGATCTTAATAGATGCCTACCTGATATGATTTTTACTGCTTTAGATGATTACCTGATTGCTTTCTGTAATATTTTTTACGACTTCATTATGTGATCATTTATGCTTCGTTATATCCATCAAATGAGAAATTTCTTATTTAAAACTTCACTTCTTCGACTATCAATTTTATCAAATTATTAGTTTTCATTTATACATAAAATATTTTTAGGGATTTTTAAGTTTCCTGCAATCGCTAAGCTAAGGTTTTCACATAGTATATTCGCTTAGTCAGCTACATAATTAAGGAATTTAAAAAAAAATCAATCGTTATTATTATCATTTTTTTCTCTCTCTGTGTCTCTGAGTAAATTTTAATATATAGCAATCTGGTGATGTTTCGCTGATTTCATTGATTGTATTCAAAGATGAGATCTCTGGAGTAGCTAGCGTGTGTAAAGTTGTCTTCGACTGCTATTGCATGATGGGTATAATCAAGCCTAAAGTTGTTGAGATCTACTAGAGTCGTTTTTATCAACTTTTCTCAAACTTTCGACAAGTGCTGAGAATAAAACCTTGTTTTTTTTTCAAATTTAAACTCTCATTTATAGTAGCTAACTACCATAAAGTATTTACATAGTGCAAATCGTTCAGATCCAATCCAGCCTATAGCATTTTTTAGAATATATTGCGTGATAGATATCTCAGCATAGTAAAATGTTATTGTTCGTGAATCTTCAGATAATCTTAATGTTCATGTTATTATTTAAAATGCGGCTATCATCAAAGAAAACCTCATGTAGAGCGTATTTCAAATAATATTCTTGAAATACAATAATTATTATCCATTATTCCTGCTAGTCATCATGTCCCGTTGTAGCCTAACAAAACAGTGTCAGTTGGGTGTAACTATACAACGTTCATCTGAAGTGCGCAGGAAGTTTAGAAGTGCGACACCTTTTGAATCTAGTACCAGTAAATGAATGATTGTTTGATTTGCTATCAAAAAAAGTTGAAAATCAGGATTTTAATTACAATGGAGGACACTCTATACATTAACTTTTTTCGATAATTAAGTTTTAATTCTCTACAGATACGAAGGCCATCGGGGTGATATCGGTCTTACAGAAAAATATAACGTTATCTATCGCCATTAATCAGAAATTCAATACATCTATTTATCAAACAAGATCTCGCGCACGTGAAATTAAAGATCAAACGCTTATGTTATATCTTGAAATAATCTTTTGTCTTTGATATTTTAGATTCATATTCAGCTCTACATTAGTTAAAGGAAAGGTATATAATATTTTGTAATTTAAATTGATCCCAAAACTGGAATGATCTACACGTAGTGGTTTACAACATTCCGCTGTCCTGCTTTTTTRTTTTTMWTTTTTTTTTTTTTTTTTTTTTTTTTTTTTTTTTTGACTCAGGGAAGTTTGGACGCACGTTACTTGCTCATATTGGGCGATTCCATAGCAATAAAGTGACAGCCAAGTCATCGAAAAACAGAATTGGAAATAGAAAGAAGGGATGTTTCGGTATCAGTATCATATGCAGTTCTTCACTTTTGCAAAGGGCTGAAGTTTATCACGTTCATTCACTTCACTTGCGCGCTTTTAAAGCTGCAAACGGTCAGATTCAATAACTTCAAAAATATATCAAAAATGAAAGCGCAAACTTAATTTCATTCCCAAGATCAAGTTACTTTGAAATTGCAGTTTCATCAGTTTTCATTCCAGTTTTCACTATGACTTGAAATGATATTTCGATTCAATTATCTTCAAGAACTGCAAAAGTTCTTTGTCAATGTCATCTGTTGCAATTCTAAGTCTGTTGACTCGCAGCGTCCGTTATTAATTGGTTTACAAACAGAAAACAGACAAAATCATTTTTGTGCGTTTGCTTGATGACGGAGAGGTTATTTGCCAGGACTTTTCCTGTTTTGATAAATGATGTTTTATGTCACTGTAGGCACAATTGTTATAAAGATGTACACGTCGTGTGAGCTTGTACATGCTGTCAAAACGGGACGGGAGCGGAATTGAAGTATGTACTATTGATTCGGTAATGATTTCGTAATTCCGGTAGCATAGCACGTATCTACCAATGCATTTTATTTGACTTTTTTAGATATAATGAAAGAAAAGAAATGATGAGAAAACTAGGATGTGTTCTTTTGTGATTTCTTCCTTTCTTTCTTTTTATTTTCTTATTTACTATTTTTTTCCTTTTTCTTTTAGTATAACTTTTTAAATTCCATCATTACGACCACAGTGCATTAACAGTGAATACTGCGGCATCGCTTAAACATTAAGCTAATGCTAAATCAATTAGTTTCCTTAAAAGTTTTAACCGTTTTAACCTGCAAAGTTTCGTCATACGCATATATAAAATGAATAATTTATTGCTAAAGTAGATTGCTCAATCTAAAAAAGGACGAAATTCCACTAACAACTTCAATAATTCGGTGTATAGTCGAAAGAGCACTTTCAGTAAGAGCGTGAAATATTAGAAATTATATTCTATTCTGTACTATTTTCACTCTTTCATATTTCATTCCATGCCAGTACTGTGGCAGTCTAATCGATCTACATAGATCCTCGCGCCTGTATCATTTTATAGTACTACTAAATGGTGCATGGTCAATTCATTTCATGTTTTCATGATGAGTAAATTAATTATATTCCATATACTCTTTGTCCTACCTCTGGCGTAGAACCGTTAAAATGAAGAAAAAAAAAAGAAAGGAAAGGGGATTGGATAATTTGGAAATAGTAGAGAACTGCTGCACTGAACAGGCCTAATGCACCACTATGTTATGGGTAATATCCCCTACACCATCAAACTACGCAAAGTGTTTCGATCGTAATAAATAGCGTTTCGCGCGTATTTTTAAACTCCAATTTCGTCGCAAATCTCGATACCATTGCACTCAAATTTTCACAGAAGTAACAGTGATTATCGATAATTCTTGTTGATAAATTAATTTGCCAAAAAGCGAAGCCATTTGGATAAATGATGCAAAATGAAAACACCTTCATTTTTCTTCAAAGTTAATTTTCTCGAAACTCATCGCAGAGATTGTAATAAAATTTTCAGAATCATTTDTTAATAACATAA